ATCATTAAGGTTGGAAAAGACCTCTAAGGTCCTCAAGTCCAACATCAACCCATCACCACCATGCCTACTAAGGTGCTGGCTGGCCTGGGGTGTGCGTGGGGCCACACAGCTCTGGGATGTGCTGGTCTGAGGCCACAGGTTTGCCTCTGGGAGCAGCAGGAGCTGGGGGCTGTGGGGAGGATGTGGGCCCCTGAGGCTGCCAGGGAGGCAGTGGGGAAGGAGGCTCTGGGGGAAAAGGAGAACCAGGGGAGCTACCAGCTTGACCCTCTGCGGGCATCTCCCTGTCCTGGTGAAACCATGGTAGGGGGTCAAAGCAAGCTGAGGGACAAGGTAGGGCTTGGTTTCCTGGGGTGAATGCCTTCTCCATAGGAGGAGGAGGTGGATGGTGTGGCCATCTCCTCTGCAAACCTGCTCCATCTGTGATAGCTGCTGGAAGGCTGGCCTTTGGGACCTCCCAGCCCTCCTACTTCCAGGAGATGGCATCACTCGATCACGGATAGCAGAGTCAAGCCCCAGGGAGCGGCAGGGGAACCCTGGCCGTTCTCCCTCTCCACTGCATCTGCCTGGTTTCCACCAGGAATCTCAGGTCTGGAGGACTAGAAGGAGTTCCCCAGGCTGGGTCTGGTGCAGGGGTCTCTGGGGTGGATGGAGAGGGTACTGCCACCTCCTCTTATGCAGCTGGGGATCCCTGAGGGCTCTGGCAGCCCCTGACCTGCTCACCCATGGGACCTTGGTGCAGGTGGCATCACTGGGCACCGAGGGTCCCCAGCAGCACCCTTCAGCCCCAGTCTAGAAGCTGGGATGCTCCTCGTGAAGCCCATGGAGGACTCCTATGAAGAACTCCTCGCCTGGCTCTTCCCCAGCATAAACTTTGCCAACCGTAATCCCCACCAGCAATAAACAGGCCAAAGAAAAGGCAAAGAGGGAAGATATCATCGGTGGATCTTTATGGCCCAGTTGTCTTCCCCTGCCCCCTTCGCCCCGTGCCGGGGAGCTGGTGGCACGGCTGTTAGCACCTGGAGGTGCTGTACCCCGACGAGCCCTTCACCTGGCGCGGGGAGGACGCAGATGAGGAGTGCTGTCCCTGCACCCCCGAGCCCTGGTCCCCAGCAGCTGCCGGAGCCCTTGGCCTCGGCTCTAAGGGTTGGGAAAAGGGAAA